GGTACAACGCATCGCGCGTTCCAACTCGCGGCTCTCGTTATCATATAAAAGAGAGAGAAAAAAAAACGAAAAGAAAAAAAAATATACAATAATGAAGTATACACGGGTTTCGTGCATGCACACGCAATATGCATCGCAATTACGTATATATGTATTTGCCGGTGTGCGGAGTATTATGTCATCTCGTCGACTCCCGGCGGACAGAACTCATGCCACACAGTCGGTTTTTCTTTATTTTTTTCATGTCAACAAATGATATATTTTTAGTGCCTATAGTACTTATGGTTTTACAGTACATTTCTCATTAGATTTAAACAATTACAAATGAACATTCTCAACACTCAAAAACGAACTACTGTTTCTCACGCACGTTTCTCTCTCTCTCTCTCTCTCTCTCTCTCTCTCTCTCTCTCTCTCTCTCTCTTCGCGCACTCACGCTTTCATTTCTCTCCTATTTTCTCTTTCATTCTCTCGGCTCTCTTCCTTTCTCTCGTGCACTCTTTCTCGCGTTAACTTATTTTGTTTCACGTGTGTGCCTTACAAACGCTTATATATTTTGTCGTATGTACTCCTTGCGATAAAAGATCAAAGTTTTTTTTTCTCCTTTGCGAGCTTTCGTGGTCGCAGTAATAAATCTCCATACGTCACTCTAATAATAATCGGGACAATATATAATTTATAATCGTTAATAATAATTAATTGTGTTATTATTCGTCATGCGTAGTAACATCATCGTCACGGCGTTCGCGCGTCGCGCACCCAAAATTATTTTATCTATACACATTACGACGCCGTTCCTTTTTTTTATATTTCTTGCTTACGTAAATATCTCTATGTATACATTACGACGCCGGCTGCGGTTTTCATCTTTTCTTTTTTTTTTTACGTTTATTTACTTGTCGCTAATTTTACACTTTATATCGCCGCGGAACACCGAAAAAATACCAGCGCGTACAATACACCACGAATTTCGGACACCTGCTCCCTCTGTTTCTCTCTTTCTCTTTTATCGAGGAAAAGGATAATATTTGTCTCGCCTCGGAAAATTCGATTCGTAATTCTCGGGCGTCGACTACGACGTGTGCGCAAATAACTTCTGTGCGGGGGATTGAGGCCGCGGGATCTAGGAATCCGAGGATAAAGTCTTGTGCCAGAAATCGGTCCGAGATGGAGTAAGAATTGAACAATCGCATTGGTCATGTGACCAAAAATTAACAAATCAAATATGATTTTCCAGCATCGCGGACACAAAGCTTTAGAAACATATCGAAAGCAGTCCATGTCCATCGTCCGCAGCAACAATTCATTTAAATGCTTGGACTTTAAGTATCGTAATACGAAGGTCCAACCCAGACAACACGCAATGTTTAGAAAACGTGTTTATGATGTCTTTTAAATATCTTTTAGACTTGTATGTACCAAAAGACGTCTTTATGATGCCTCTGTGACGTTTTTCAGACATACATGTTTTCTGGGAAATATCTCACAGATCGAAAATTTTCAAGACTTAGGCATATATATTCAAGAATCTCGGGGAGGATCCCAGAGTCGGATCGCAATTAATTTCTATTGTACTTCGAGGCTACAGAATCCAAGGATTTAAGGACCCAGAAATCGGAGCGCCCAAGTATTTGGAAATTTCACCGCTCGGAAACGCAAGACCCTTACAGAAATTTAATATTGGAAGGTAGCGATCAATCACTTATTTTGAAAATTAAAAGCAACGTTGTTCAGCGTTTTTAATAATTGAAATAAGTAATTTTCAATATCAAATTAAATTTCTGCAAGGGAAATCAACGATTCCCGGGATTCAAGAATCCGAAGATCCACGCGGTGTGTCCAGAAGATCCGCGAATATCACTCAAGGATCGATGGCGACCGGGTATCGGAATTGAATTTATAAGAGATAGGCGTGCGTTACCTCCTCTCATTTTCTTTTTCCATTTTTTTTTAACGCGATATTGGACAAACGTACGCACATCTGCGCTCTCTATAATTAATTCCTCGTTATTACAACAAACTACGCGCGAAGCTCGGGGCGTCGACGATCGCGCACCGGGAGAAATCGATTTGTTCACCGCGATATCGTGGCAAGAGTGCAGACCGACTGCGACGGAGCCTCCCATTTAGAATGCACATTTAGGACGAAATCCTCGTTTGGACCGGCGCGGCCGTCGTTTGCGGTTCTGCACGACTCTTTATGTACTCATCCTCTCTCGCGCACCCTCTCTTTTCGCACGAGACTAGTAATTAGTGATAATAATATCGACTAATCGACTATTAATTCCCACAGTTTTATCGCCAACTACCGCGCTAATTCATTTTTTTTTCATACCCGTTAACTTACGCCGCCTATTTTGAATCCTCAGATTCAATTTACGTGAAACGCTTTCTGAGAAACGTCGCGCCAATCCGAAGAGCCAAGGAAAAATCTGTTTCTTCCTATACAGCATAAAAGCTTGCAGCAATTACGTTACTGCAACGTTGCAATATTACTGCAATATTACTAATGAGAGAAGGAATCCTGTTTTGCATATCACTCCCTTACTTCGAAAGTGACACAAAAAATTAAAGAAGCATAATTTTTTCGTAATTATTACATAAATAAGATAAGTAAACATTACTCATCAATCATAAAAAATGAACTTAACTTAATAAAAGATCGTTACAAATCATAAAGGATGGTTTTCAAAGATTGTGAAAAGGACATTTCATCATATTAAGAATAGATTTCTTTTATATTATATGATCAATCAATAATTTCGTGTGAAATGAAAATAGTTTTCCCTCTTTTCTATGAAATTTAATTTTTTAAAGAATTATAAATCGAAATTAAACCGGCGAGAATAAATTAATTAATAGAAATAATCCTATTAATTGTTTAATTATCATTTTTCAAAAAATTAATAGAAATAATTCTATTAATTTTTTAAATTGTCACTTTTCAAATAAGGAAGCAATAAAAACATTATCAAGCATCCAAATCCGCTTTACCAAAAATAAAATTTCTTCTCTTATCTGCGATATTGCTGAAATGTTACAATGTTGCAATATTGCTGGAATAATTTGTGCTGTATGGATTTTTCTACACATACATACACACCACGCACAAAACATACATACATCTCTCTCAGAAATGTATCACGATCGCCGACGATCGCCGACTCGACCAACAGTACCTTACGCGATCAGGACGCATGTTAAAAAGGACGACGATGACGATTCACTACAAATTCTTCGTCTTTAATTCACGATTAGAGATCGTGCGCCACTCTCGCACTACGCATGAAACTATCGATAGTATTTTGCTTTCTCCTGCCGGCACGTATCGTGGATTCGTCGTGAGAGACAATTCATAAAAGTTACGATTGCGAGCGACCGATTCGCGGACGTAGCGACATTGAATCAGGGAAGGAGAAGAAGGGCATAGAATGCGAGAGGTCCAACTCGTTCCTTTTTTCGAGGATTCTCTTCGAAAATCCTGGTAGAGTTTTACAACAAAATCTAGAGAGCCACGAAGCGTTCTGTAAACTTGAATCTAAGCGCGAAATTTACAGAAGAAATGCGGAAAAAATTGACTCATATTACCATCATTTCGATATTAAATGCAATCAATACGATAAGATATTTTTTTTAGAAAGATACTCTTTTAGAAAAGCCTTTTAAAAATAATACCATGTGGTGTAATATTCGCCATTTAATACAGAAACGATCGATAATAATTGTTCATTTCGCTGGTCATGCGTTTCGTTAGTTTCG